GGCAAGAATGCATTTTATAAAAACTTATTTTCAGCCGTTGGCATGTGGATCCAACTTGCAAGCTGCTATTATATAATTATTGATACTGATCCTAGCATATTTGGATTATTGAATAATAAACCTTGTCTCTTTAAAGCCGCTATCTTTTTTTTTATAATGACCACTGCTCAAGTTCAAGATATGAGAGATCAAGAGGGTGACAAGCTTAGTGGAACATATAATCTGGAAAACTCCTATTTTCACGCAATTTGAATTGAAAAAAAATATTTATTTATTTTACAATGCAAAAAAAAAAAAAAAAAAATAGCCAGAATGGGCAATGTCAGTGGAACATATAATCTTGGAAATTGCTAACTTAGTGGGAATTGGAATTGAATAAAGACACTTATTTATTTTACAATACAAAAAAGATAGCCGAAATGGAAATACTAGTGGAACATATAACCTTGAAAGTTGCTAACTTAGTGGAATTGGAATTGAAAAGGGTTAATATAAGACATTCATTAATTTTACAATACAAAGAATTTCAACTTAAAAGATTCTCTGCCAAAATTTTTTGATAGTAAATGAATGCCTTATATCGTCCTTTTCAACTTCAATTTCACCGAGATAGCAATTTTCAAAATTATATATTTTAAATCTAGCTGTTTTTTTTTTTTTTGCATTGTGACAAATGAATGTCTTATATTCATTATTTCTTGCATTGTAACAAATAAGCGCTTATTTTTGTCATTTTCAATTCCAATTCCCATTAGGTAGCAATTTCCAAGATCATATATTCTACTGGCATTTTCTATTCCGGCCTTTTTTTTGTAAATAAATTAGGATAGCTGCGTGACGCAGTCACGCTAAAACTAGGAACATATATGAATATAACATCCTAAATTAAAAATTTCAGAAATAGATATTATTTACATTATATTTTATAGTGACATTAAAATAAATTAATTTCAAAGGGGTTAAAACTTTATTTTCTAGTAGAGTTAAGTTATATCATTGTTTAATTTCACATATTTTCTTTATCTATTATTTTGCATTATCAATTTTTTTCATTAATTCATCTCAGCTATGTTTCCACTATTTTATTACTAGCTATAATTGTACTTACATTGTTATATCATATATTATTACCTTTTTATACCCAACTTCTATCATACAGCTGATAAAAGGGCGATTTAGATCACGCACAAGAATTATAACATAAAAATATGATCAGGCTATCGATTAAACTCTATAAATTCACATATAATCTAACTCCAAAATAGGTTAAAATTTTATTAAGTACTAATGCTAGTAGTTAGCCCGTC